TATTGATCATTAATAATTAAATTTCAAACACATTGTAAATAACCGCAGGACGTCAGGTTCTCCTGTAAAGCTGCTGACTCTGTGTTTACCAATAACATTGCCTGACGGAACTGAACCAGTGACGCACTCTGGATTTATACCAGTGACGTAAATAATGACTTCAACATGTGAGTCAGCAGAAATTACCCGTGTAACGTTCAAAACGTTGTTCCTCTGTTTCACCTCAGACGGTGAAAGGGTGGAAATCGGTCCGTCAGCAGAGATACATTTCCTCTGTGTGGACAGTACTAACGAGGACTCAAACCTTTTGTTGCACATTTTGAAAATGTATTTACTTCTTACATCAACAGGAGAGAGCAATGTTTCCTTTCACGAGAGAATAAAAGAGCTGACATTGTCTGTACTGTTAACAAAAACAGCAGACATCAATATAAAACTGCTCCGAGGTAACAATGCCACAATGCTGGCAGGAGCGGCAGCAGAGCTACACAGTGCAGCATTAATTCCTATCTCACTCAAAGTTTTTTTGTGGAGGGTTAATAAGGCCTTTTGTTACAATAAGTGGTGAGAAGGCAAAGACACAGAATTGATAGCCAGCAGCAATTTACCCTGATGGGGTTAGCGTTTACAGGGGCATGGCTATTTGAATAAGCACCATTTGTCACTGTCATTGGCAGCGCGGATATATGGCTTGATGAAATTGAAAAATTCCTGTCTGGGCCAGCTCCCACGACTGCCGAGATTCTGGTGGCGATATGTCAGGATTTATCTGCTCCACCTCAGCGAATCGGCTAACACGGTCTGGGGAGACAAGCGGCAAGTTGAGGCCTGATAGCTAAAGGAAAGGGAGGTGAGAGGGGGAGGGGGTCTCGCTGAACCTCCCCTTGTGCAGGATGTGTTTAGGCTGAAATGTGGCCGGAGATCAAAATAATCTTTACGAATTATTGGCTTTTATGCAGCGCCGCCACAGGAGAACTGTTCAGCAACTGGACATTTTCATCTTAAGCAAAAATGGCCACATATCATAATTTTTGAGTTTGTCACTCAACCCTACCTCTCGTTTTTTTTTTTGTCTTTCAGCATTCCCAACAAAGCAAACCTACATCAGCTACAGCAACCATGGAATCTAATTGAAGGGACAGAGGTTCTTATCATAATTCAGGATTTCCACCATGATGGACGGAGGAGATGGGGGAAAAAAAAAAAAAAAAAAAAAGAGGATGTGTCATTGAACAAGTGGAGATCAGAGAAGCTTTGCCCTGGGAAACGACATGGTGAGGAGAGACCACAAAGACGTGCAGAGACGGACAAACACAGGACCTGGACTGATAACACTACATTTCCTAGATTCCATCTTTTGTCTGCCTCAGAAGAATAAACATGAAAATGAAAAATACTTGCATGGCAGAGACCTGGAGGCTGAAGGACGGTGCTTTCCTTTTGAGTGTTTCAGCTATGACCTCTTTTGAAGACGTCTCCCGTCGTCCTGAGCAGCGCTGACTGAACCCGAACTGAAATAAAGAATATGTTCAGGTGTTCTCAGTGATGTCTGCCAGTTTTGCAAACTACAATTAATCTTAAAATTCTCAAGGCATCACAAGGAATTAATCATCACCAGAAAGGCATGAAAACGTGGTCCTTGGATTTCCAAGAGGGGGTTTGTGTTTTGTTCTTATTTTTTTATCTCTAAGTGTATTCTGGTCCCATGAGTCAAACGACTGGAGATGGGGATCATCTCAACAGTGCAGCAAATCTCCTGTACCTGACCCTGTATTTTTATTTCTTCTTCCACGTTTCCACTGACTTATCAAGAATGGCTACACATATAAGACGATCTCTGCTGATTTTGAGCATGCCAGTTTCAACATCCTGTGTTGTGTTGTTTAAAATAAAAGAGAGAAAAAGTACTAATAAAAAAAAAACTAAGAAAATTAAAAAATTATATCTTTGGAATGCGTTTTAAACTCTGTTGCAGCGTTGTTAACAATTGTTTGGGCCTGAGCCTATTGTGCGTTAAAACCTGTTCTCAAATGGTGACGGTCTAGTGAGTGATTGTTTATCTGTGCTTAAGTGAGGCCATGATTTGTATTACCAGCGAGCCCGAGACTGCCACTCAGCATACCTGTATGTGCATTGACACAAGCGGCTCCTGGTTAAAATGAACAGTGTTTTAGCCGGGAGCAGTCGTCCTGGATGACCCTCCCATCACTGCCACCAGCTCTCTCCACCACACGTAGTGTAAGGGTATTAGGAGGGGAATTAAGATGAAGTATGCCCCTGAGAGGACGGAGCAATATGCCCCGAAGGTGATATCCATAATGGACCGGCCACTGAGGAAATTCATTACTATACATGTCCTCTCCAGGCACTTTCATGATAGGGAGGAGGTGTCAGGGAGTTGTGAGGCTTTTCAACAAATGAAAATCTAATTGCAAACGTATACAATATCTCTATCCATCACCCTCAGCTCGCTGAAAAGATTAATAGTTGGCTTTGTGCAGTATAAAAGCCCTCTAATGTCTTGGGGAAAATATTGTGGGGTCATTTGTGTTGTGAATTCAATGCTGCTTTTCATGCCTCCCTCTGTATTACTTTCAACACCATTTGTGTTGCAGAATAAAACGTGAGTGCTGACCAAATTAAATGGTGAGTTAATGTATGTTATTAAATATTGATTGATGACGTCTGCTTTATGTCCTGACATCCTAAAATTGGGGAAAATGTAGAAAAAGATACAGTGCCTGGCTATCTGACTATGTATTTGTAAAACCTCATGAAAACTAATGAAGTGTCTGAAGCATGTTTAGTTTTTTTTTTGATACAAAAATTTTATTTCTATTAAAAATGTTTTAAAACTTCAGTGTTTGTGTGATTTCAGAGAATCGAGCAGGGGCTGATTATCTTTTAACATGTTATTATCATCCATGCATGTATTCTACAGTCCGCTGCCTGACTGGAAAAACACAATGACACTCCTCACCGAAATGATTGGCAGCGTTTCTGTGTGAGTGTAAGTGTGTTGTTTTTATTCATGTTGCTAGAAAATTATATGGATAAAAAAAATATCTATAGTTTGCCGGCCCTAAAGAAAAAGACAGACCGTGGCCATCCTCTAAATAATATGTTGCCACAATTGCTCTGACAATAGCGGAGAGAGGACAGAGAATTGTTGAAGGGGAAACATGAAATTATTTTAAATGAATGGGTAGCAGCTACTTGAATCCAAGGCCCTCTGCAAGGTCTCATGATCTGTCATCTTCTCCACGCCTCCCTGATACATCGAGCCCGCTACACAAAAGGCTCAGAAATAACAGGTATTGTATAGCGCAGGAGCTAAATGCACGCACAAGCACTAGATTACTGCAACATGCAGAGCAGAGTATATATCATCTTCACATGGAGGAGACAGAATGAGGTGTCTCCAGTATTTGGCCTGAGACTGCAAGATTTTTCACCACAAACATTCATTTTTCCTTTTTTGTTTCAACATATTGAGCCACAACAATAAAGAGCACATTAGAAAATCATGTTACAATTTAAGTGAAATGATGCAGACTAAAGCTTTTAAATGATCTTATTTAAATAGTCTCACAGCTCATGTCTCTCCCAGGAATTATTTGCTGAAAATATTTAGAATTCAAAATAAAGTCACAACCTCACTGCATGGCTTTTCACTTCATCTTCATTTTCAGTTGCAGTACTGAACAGACTTTAGAGAGGAAGAACTACTGCATTTAGAAAAGGGATAGAGAAAATGTATATGTGTGGTACACTGAAGGACACGGTGATGCCAGTTGCTAAGAAAATAAATCAGTGGGTCAATATATTATCGATAAATAACAGTTGCCTCCGACCAACACGAGCTGCAAATGACTTCAGTGTTGTTTCTTGAGACCTACAAACGGCCATAATGAGCTCCACCAGGATCTCACTGAGTCCCTTCACTGGAAGACGTCCACAAACAAAATCCGCAAGACGTGTTCGGGACATTTCTTACAAACACAGCAGCCAATAGGATTTAGATTTGTATACGTGTTTCACACTGAATTAAGTCAATCGATGGTGGCAACGCATGGACCTAACCCCATGCCACAACTGTAGCTTCAACTATAAGCTCTGACTGTCTGCGTGGACAGTAAAAACATTATGAACCACAGCGCAAAAATGCAGTAGCTTGTGGTAACGTGAGCTGGAAGCAAAGATGTGGTTCTGCATTATGAAAAAGGAGGGAAACATAATGATTGACAGCTGAGACTGACTCAAGATTCTTCATGTGTGTATTGGCGGGACCTCGCGGCTCCACTCCATGATCACAGATTGTGGTTCCAAATGGCGTCATCTTCAGCAGATGGCAGCGTTGGTCTCCAGGATTGGCTTCATTTCAGAATAGTGGTGACATAGCGTCGCATAGCATCTTTATTTACAGTCTATCACCAACAGGAAACACAGACGGACCAGCTAAGACATTCAGTAAACGTCACAACCGTGGACAGTCAAGAACCTCAGAATTAATCATGTGGTAAAATAAGATTTGAAGAATAGTCAACAAATATTTTGATAACTTGAGTAATTCTTTAAGAAAATGTGTCAAAATGTGTTGGTCTCAGTTTAAATGTTTTCTGGCTTATGTCAGTAAATGCCATATATGGGAGTTTTGGAATATTTATTTGACATGACGAGACATCTGAAGTTGTCACCTCTGGCTTTGGGAATTTGGGATGGATATGTTTGCCGCCAAAGCAGTAAAGCTGCATGGCAAGTGTTTACTGTGAATCAGCTGCCAGGAGGGAAGTAGATTTTTCATCAACAGCAGAGAGCCCGGGAAGTAACGGGGCCCCTGAAGAAGTGACAGTCAATATTTCTTGTTTGACAGTCAGAGAGCACAATAAGAGGCAAAACAATCCCAACAGAGACGCAAAATGACCAGAGACAAAAACTATAGAAAAGATCATAAAGAGAGGAAATAACCACAGAGCAACATTTACAGAGGATTTTGTTTCTGTGATTGAAGGGTGGGTTTTTTATAATCTGCTCATGTGTGTATGACATACATTTGCTTCTAATTCATGAGTTTTTGTCTGTGTTTTATTTGTTTATCTTCCTATGAGTTAGCAAAACTGTGAGATGGATTACTATGAAACATGACGGAATGAAGTGATATGAGTCAAGGAAGAACCCTTTTCATTTTTGGGTGGAACCGGACCAGGGGACGGATCCATTTTTCCAAATTTTCTTGATCTCTCAGAGAATAATTCATGGATCTTGATGAAATAAACCAGGCATGTTTAGAAGAGTGATATTTATGCGTGTGAATTTAAATGTGCCCGTAGAGGAGTTGTTGAGCCTTTGTGGAGGAAAGCACTCTCTATCTGCCCTTATACTTTAATTAGTTTTGTATGTCTTTTGAGTAGGAGGTTATGAATGCAAATATGAGTGTGTATACCTATCAATCAACAATATGACATCTAGAAAAAAAAATGCACTAAAAATCACTCTAATTGTTGCAGTTCGCACTGTGGAGAAGAAAACCCTGTTTGTGTTATTTCTCCAGCAGCTGTCCTCTCTTTGCTTCAATGCATCTGAGCCTGAAAGCAGCATTTTTCAATAAATTCGAGGAATATTTTAGACAACTTGAGATATTGTTCAGGAGCCTAATGGAAAAACACATTCAGAGACAAGTTTCTGTGGGCAATCGTAATGATAAGAGCATCGAGAGGTTCAGTGCAATCTACTCAGCTGTGTAATTGCAAACAGAGAAAGACACAAAAGCTCGGATGGAGGTTAAGAGGTTTATCCACGCTGGCTAATGACTTATATGAACTAATGGCACTGTGCATGTACAACTCCACCACTTTGTTGATGAAGGGGTCTTTTGATGTGAGCGTAGACAACATAATCCACAGGAAAAGAAAAAGTATTCCTCATGAGCATTGACTCCTTTTCATAGCTACAAGATCACAATGACAACGACAGCTGCTCGAGATTAGAGGAGTAAATTAATTCAAATACTGCTCACACAGCAGTTGAGAAACCGAGCGCATACACAGAACCTATCACACGAGCCGCGGATCACAGTGTAATTATTACTCCTTTCACATGTTCTCCAAATGGTCTTGGTGCAGTTTCCAAAGACAATTGAGCCACCACAGAGTCACTAAAAAGTGAAAATGCAACAGAAGAAAGCACTCAGAAAGTAATTTCCTTAAGTTTTAGTCATCGGAAACCAATTTCATTTCATTAACCATTTAAAGTGTATCTGATTGCAGTGGTCGGGGGCTATAGTCGCAGCAATAATGCCGAGACAATCTTCGTTCAAGTATGAACAGCGGAGCAAATAAAATGTCTATCCACAGCCCTTTCCCCTGTGAAGCTGAAGATGATACAACTGCCCTCAGGTGACAGAATGAGCACATTTATGCACCTATATCTACAGCAGGTTTGTGAGAGGCAACACAGCGATGTTTCCCTGCCAGGTCCTTTGACTGAGCTCTCTCAGCTGTGCAGAAATTGTACATAATCATAAACAGACTCAACACAGACTACTAGGCTATTTTGCTGTGAAGAGAATCGATCTAGAGGCGAGATTTTTCCAAAACGAAGGCATCAACAATTCACTTTGGACGGAGAAAGAGGAGAAATGCTGGCAGGAAAGAAGCGACTCAGAATAAATGTATGAAGCAAAGAACTAAGGAGGAATATGGACTGCGTGTGAAGGAAACTACGTAAAAACCGTAAAGAATCTCATGTGTGTTTTGAATCACAGCTTCACATTTCCTTCTTCTAATATTCAGTTAAAATTTCATTCACCTTTTGTCTGTGATAGTGACGAATGATCAGAGACGTGGCGCAGCAGCTCGTCCTGCTCATACACTATGTTGCTAGGAAACAGAACCTCATGAATATCTTGCAGTAAATGCACAATCAAAAGGAATTCATGCAAACGTTGCACCTCCTTCTATTTATTCTACTTTTTTTTACCTATCATA